GGTTAATATTCAGCTGGGTCATACGGTTGTGCAACCCAGACATCTTGAGTATGTGCTCACTGACAGAACTATTTTCCTCCATCTTACAACTATAGAACTTGTCGGAGACGTCATATCTCTCGACCCGGGCGTGAGCTTGGAAAACTAGTCTCAGCTCCTCGAACATCTCATATGCTCCGTGATGCTCAAAACGCTTTTGGAGCCCCGGTTCTAAGTTGTAAAGCATGCCGCACTGAACGAGGGAGTAATCATAAGCACGAGTCTGCCAAGCATTCATAATGTCTTGGTTCTCTGGGACGGGAGCGTCACCTAGCGGTCCTTCTAGGACATATTGTTTCCTGGCAGCTATGAGGATGATCATCAGGTTCCGGACCCAGTCCGTATAGTTGCTGCCATCATCTTTCAGCTTGGTTTTCTCTAGGAACGCGTTGAAGTTCATGTTGACATGAGCGTTGGCCATTTGATCTACAAGACATATTTGCAAAGGTTTTTAGACTAAGTTCATGATAATTAAGTTCATCTAATCAAAGTATTATAATGAACTCGCACTCAGATTTGACATCCCTCTAGTCATCTAAGTGATACACGATCCGAGTCGACTAGGCCGTGTCCGATCATCACGTGAGACGGACTAGTCATCGTTGGTGAACATTCTCATGTTGATCGTATCTTCCATACAACTCGTGTTCGACCTTTCGGTCTCCGTGTTCCGAGGCCATGTCTGTACATGCTAGGCTCGTCAAGTTAACCCTAAGTGTATTGCATGTGTAAATCTGTCTTACACCCGTTGTATGTGAACGTAAGGATCTATCACACCCGATCATCACGTGGTGCTTCGAAACGACGAACTTTAGCAACGGTGCACAGTTAGGGGAGAACACTTCTTGAAATTGTGTAAGGGATCATCTTATTTACTACCATCATTCTAAGTAAACAAGATGCATAAACATAATAAACATCACATGCAATTATATATTAGTGACATGATATGGCCAATATCATATAGCTCCATTGATCTCCATCTTCGGGGCTCCATGATCATCTTGTCACCGGCATGACACCATGATCTCCATCATCGTGTCTTCATGAAGTTGTCACGCCAACGACTACTTCTACTTCTATGGCTAACGCGTTAGTAAAGTAAGTTACATGGCGTTCTTCAATGACACGCAGGTCATACAAAAATAAAGACAACTCCTATGGCTCCTGCCGGTTGTCATACTCATCGACATGCAAGTCGTGATTCCTATTACAAGAACATGATCTCATACATCATAATATGTCATTCATCATTCATCACAACTTTTGGCCATATCACATCACATGACAATTGCTGCAAAAACAAGTTAGACGTCCTCTAATTGTTGTTGCATCTTTTACGTGGCTGTAATTGGGTTCTAGCAAGAACGTTTTCTTACCTACGAATAACCACAACGTGATTTTGTCAACTTCTATTTGCCCTTCATAAGGACCCTTTTCATCGAATCTGCTCCAACTAAAGTGGGAGAGACAGACACCCGCCAGCCACCTTATGCAACTAGTGCATGTCAGTCGGTGGAACCGGTCTCACGTAAGCGTACGCGTAAGGTTGGTCCGGGCCGCTTCATCCCACAATACCACTGAAGCAAGATAAGACTAGTAGCGGCAAGCAAGTTGACAAGATCTACGCCCACAACAAAATTGTGTTCTACTCGTGCAAAGAGAACTACGCATAAACCTGGCTCATGATGCCACTGTTGGGGAACGTTGCAAAAAAATTAAATTTTTCCTACGGTTTCACCAAGATCCATCTATGAGTTCATCTAAGCAACGAGCCAAGGGAGTGAGTTTGCATCTACATACCACTTGTAGATCGGATGCGGAAGCGTTCAAGGGGATGGTGATGATGGAGTCGTACTCGTCGTGATTCAGATCACCGATGACCAAGTGCTGAACGGACAGCACCTCCGCGTTCAACACACGTACGGGATGGGAGACGTCTCCTCCTTCTTGATCCAGCAAGGGGGGATGAGAGGTTGATGATGATCCAGCAGCACGACGGCGTGGTGGTGGATGCAGCAGAACTCCAGCAGGGCTTCGCCAAGCGACTACGGGAGGAGGACGAGGTGTAGCAGGGGGAGGGAGGCGCCAAGCACAAGGGTGCGGCTGACATCCCCTTTGCCCTCCTTTATATAGGCCCCCAGGGGGGGCGCCGGCCCTGGGAGATTGAATCTCCCAAGGGGGCGGCGGCCAAGGGGGGAGGAGTGCCCCCCAAGGCATGTGGTGCGCCCCCCCCCCACCCTAGGGTTTCAACCCTAGGCGCAGGGGGTGGGCCTAGGGGGGCGCACCAGCCCACTATGGGCTGGCTCCCCTCCCACTTCAGCCCATGGGGCCCTCCGGGATGGGTGGCCCCACCCGGTGGACCCCCGGGACCCTTCCGGTGGTCCCGGTACATTACCGGGTGACCCCGAAACTTTCCCGATGGCCGAAATACCACTTCCTATATATAATTCTTTACCTTCGGACCATTTCGAAACTCCTCGTGACGTCCGGGATCTCATCCGGGACTCTGAACAACATTCGGTATGCTGCATACTCATATTCATACAACCCTAGCGTCACCGAACCTTAAGTGTGTAGACCCTACGGGTTCGGGAGACACGCAGACATGACCGAGACGACTCTCGGGCAATAACCAACAGCGGGATCTGGATACCCATGTTGGCTCCCACATGCTCCTCGATGATTTCATCGGATGAACCACGATGTCGAGGATTCGATCAAACCCCGTATACAATTCCCTTTGTCAATCGGTATGTTACTTGCCCGAGACCCGATCGTCGGTATCCCAATACCTTGTTCAGTCTCGTTACCGGCAAGTCACTTTACTCGTACCGTAATGCATGATCCCGTGACTAACCACTTAGTCACTTTGAGCTCATTATGATGATGCATTACCGAGTGGGCCCAGAGATACCTCTCCGTCATACGGAGTGACAAATCCCAGTCTCGATCCGTGTCAACCCAACAGACACTTTCAGAGATACCTGTAGTGCACCTTTATAATCACCCAGTTACGTTGTGAGGTTTGGTACACCCAAAGCACTCTTACGGTATCCGGGAGTTACACGATCTCATGGTCTAAGGAAGAGATACTTGACATTGAAAAAGCTCTAGCAAACGAACTACACGATCTCATGCTATGCTTAGGATTGGGTCTTGTCCATCACATCATTCTCCTAATGATGTGATCCCGTTATCAATGACATCCAATGTCCATAGCCAGGAAACCATGACTATCTGTTGATCACAACGAGCTAGTCAACTAGAGGCTCACTAGGGACATATTGTGGTCTATGTATTCACACGTGTATTACGATTTCCGGATAATACAGTTATAGCATGAATAAAAGACTATTATCATGAACAAAGAAATATAATAATAACACTTTTATTATTGCCTCTAGGGCATATTTCCAACACCTTACTTAGGGGATAAGATAAGAAAAAAGCATAATAGGTCATAGGTCATAAGATGACCCAAACTCTTGTAAACCTAGGGCCTCGACCTGTATATAAAGGCGAGTCCCTGAGTTAGATAGACTAAGTTACAATTGATCAATAGCTAGGTCAAGCGAATCCGCTCCCTTGTAATTGATCCCAAGCAATAAGCAAACAAGCAGGAAGTACGCTATTACCTCGACCGTGAGGGGCCGAACCTGGGTAACCCGTGTCTCTCGATTCCGATCAACCCCGACAAACTAATCACCCGGTTGTGATGGCCTCACGACGAAGTCCTCACACTAGGACATCTGCCGTGACAAAACCATGACAATGCCTATTTGGCACGCCGAGGCACTACTGACCCATCGAGGCACCTTACGTTCCGCGCACGGCATGCGTGCTACGATGTATTATGTGCCACGATTTCCTTATTCTCGAAATATGCACGTATGGTTTGTTACAACTAACCCATGCTAAACATGGTATCTGTTTAAGGACATTGATTTGATTCCATAAGATCAACAATAATTACAACTGCTCGGTGAAGGTTACACGCACGACTCCCTCTATTCTACTAGTAAGTTTGCATGTGCAACACACGTCTCAATAAATATAAATGTTAATAACCAGTATACGGGAGATGAGGCGGCGTTGGGTGAGGCGGGGCGGGGCGAGGAAGAAGAGAGAGTTGGTGGCCGTCCTTTCCGTCATCTGCCGCACACTTGGGAAATAAGGGAGAGATGGCCTCCGTCGCGTGGGGAGGCGGCAGCGACGAGCGGCGCGACGACGGGCAATGAGGCCGTGAAGAGAGGTCTGCCGGAGGGACTGAGGGGAGGGAGCAAATTTTTTTTTGGAGAAAGAGGTGGAGAGAGAAAAAAAGGAAAACTTCGGTTGTTAAGGAGATCTCGTGTCACGCACTAACTGCGTTCCGCAGATCAGGGAGGGCCGCGCAGATTAGAGGGATGCGAGCTTGGACGATTGTGGCAGACGACTGCATCTGCTTGGTAGAACATTTGATCAGAGACGTTGATCTAGATGTCAGACCATTAACATAACATGGGCGGCAGGATGTGTTTGAGTTTATTTGATCGGAGGGTCCTGGTTATGCTGTGTACAATTTGTTGTGTAGCTTTAGAGGAGTTTATGTTTGCTCTTTTAATAGTAGTATATAGATACGTAGCGCACTAGCAGGTTTATTACCTCAAAAAAAATTCCGTATTTCAAAATAAATAGAAAAAAACCTAAATGGGCCATGCCGTGCCGGCGTTTGTGCCCAGCCTCGCGGCCCAGGCGGGCCACGTGCCGGGCACGCGGGCTATCAGGCCGGCAAGCTAAGATCGGCCCATTTGGCCAGGCTTGGTCCTGCTAGTAAAACTTGAGCCTGTCACCCTTGTTTCCCGTCATCACCCATCAGTTCCTCCCCCCTTTGTCTCATCCCAGTTCCTCCCCCCACCAAGAACCTAGGGTTAGGGTTAGGGAGGCGGCGGCTGCTTTATTCCCGATCCCGCCCGATCGCCATGGTCATCGCAGGCGAGCCAGAGCCGGAGGAGGTGGCCGTCATGTTCTCCGATAGGTTGAGGGCGGAGGAGGAGACCGTCGTCTTCCCCGGTTGGGTGATGCTGGATCGCATCGGCCGCACCCACTGCGACGGCGACCTAGGAGCTGCTCGTGAGGCTGTCAACGGGAACAAGACCGCCGTTCAAGTCGAGATGGACAGCGGCCACTCCTTCTACGTGTCCTTCACCCTCGCGCCTCCTCCACAAGGGGCCTCTTACCTTGATCTCCACTGGCCGCTGGAAGGCTCAGCCAAATCCGTGCCCCCCTACAAGCAGCCTGCCTATCCCTTCGTCCGGGCAATCGACAAGGACCTCGTCCTCTTCCACATCTCCATCCCGAGCCTGCCTCACCGCAACTTCGTCCCGCCAGATCTGTTCGTCTACAATGCCGCTGGTCACCCCCCCTCGGTGCAGCAGCTCCCTCTGTACAGGAGAAGGTCATTCCTCAGGGTTAACTTCACCACAGGCATCCTGCGGCGCCAAAACGGCAGCTACATCGTTTCCGACCTCAATGTCTACCCAAAAAAGGAGGGCACTGGTAATAATTCCATGTGCGCCGAACTCTGCGTCTTCAACTCCAATACACGGGCGTGGAGCTTCTTCAGCAAGGATGCTCCGCAGCCCCAGGACCAGAGCAATGGCCAGTTCCCCACCCTCTGGTCAACCGACCATGTGCTTGCTTTTGACGGCCGTTTCCTGTGCTGGGTTGACTACTTCAGCGGTGTCCTGCTATCCGACTTCTCCAATCTGCGCTCCCGGGTGCTCCACTTCGTCCCTTTCCCTGGAAAAGGAGAGTACCCTGCTAAGGTACGGGTTCAAAGGTGCTTCCCAGACAGATTCCGAAGCGTGTCCATCAGCAACGGCAAGATGTGCTTCGTCCACATTGACAATGACTTCCATGAGAGAATCCACACTGGCTCGCAAGGGCAGCAGCCTCGCAAAAAAATCACCATTTGGACTTTGAACATGATGGATGGTAACTCCAGGTTCAAGTGGGAGCCACATCGTGTGATCTACCTGGATGGTCTTTTGCCAAATCCTCACCGTCTTCCCGAGTTCCCTATCATCAGCGCAGATGACCCGGATGTTCTGTGCTGCCTCTTAAGGAGGAATTTCATGGTGAGGCCTCCATGGTCATGATTGACATGGAGCATGCACGTCTGCAGTCGTCTACTCCATATATCAATCGACAGTCTGTGGATGAGAAGGCTCACAAAAGCGAGTTTCCTGATATGCCCCTACTTCCAACTGTCTTCTCCAAACACATTGAAAGGCCAACAGGTAAGCTCTCTTGGTATGTAGTACCTTCTTGCATAGTACTGCATTACGTAACATGATTGCCTTTGCTTAGCTTTCTGTTGGATATGGATGTTGGTTTTTGCTTATTTATCTTACCTATGATGCAATACATGTGCTGCCTGATTAGTTGTATGATTTTGAAGGGTAACTGAACCGTGACTTAATTTTGGTGCACGCTTAGTAGCTTAACAATTGAATCTTTGAATATATTTGTTACCATGAATCTTGTCTTGGGCTGTTGAAGATTTTCTAGTTTTAGCCGGTCCAGTTGTATAGGTGCTCTACACTGTATACCACTACCAGTGGCCCTTCTGCCATCAATTGTCCTTGCTAGTCTAGAATTCTCTAGTTCTATTTGTTGAATCTTTTGCTCTTCATGGTAAAAAAAATCATGGAACTTTCCATTATCTATGCATGTGTAGTTCCTGATTCATTACGCAACCTTCCTTTGCTAATATAATATTTTGGTATGCTATTTTCAAGTGAATTCTAGGAGCCGCACTAGAGCGATCGCTCTTGTAAAGCATAAAATTGATGCTCCTCCAGTTTCTATATCGGAGCAAATTTCTTACCTTTAGATGATACACATATGAACCTTTAACACATTATTTTCTGTTGGTAAAAGTTTTAGAATGTGCTTCTTTGGATCAATGAGGTCACATCTTTGTCTGTTTCTGTTAGAATCCGTTTATTTCGGATAGTGTGCATCCATTGACATACTTTTATGATATATGACTACATTTTGCTGGCAAAATTAATGGTCAAAGTTAGACATAAAGAAATGAAGTGGCCTTGTATCAGTAGATGGAGGGAGTACTTTTTATATCGTGTAACTGGATACTGGACCAGTGAAAACCCATTCTCTACGTATGAATGGCATATGCCATTACCATCGGAATACCACATCAAGTATATGATGCCATTACGCTTACATCAGTATCTAGGGCGAAACTGTTATGTCTATCAATGTACACCCTACTCCAATGCCATCTTTGTTTCTTGTTTGTCTATTTCTTTTCTTTTTTTGAACTATTATTGTGTAGGTCATTATTGAAAGTGAATTTTTAACCAGCAAACAAATCACTTGGTTTGGCAATTTTCTTATCTGTCAATGCTGCTCGCAAACAACATAGTCAGATGCTCAGATGGTGTACATATGTATTTTAAATTTTTTTTTTGAAGGGATGCCATGGGACAACCACAAGCTTGCAACTCGTCCTTCAAAGAAGCTTAAGTCTGCAATGTGAAGACCTGGAATCTCGTGACTGGTGTTGAACACTTTGCGGATGCTCAAATCGTAGATGATGTTTGTCAATGGCGCGGTGCAGGCACAACCAAGTCAGGCAAGATATGACATTGATGTGATGAAGATGACGCACTGATGAGTATCTATTACAGTAAATGATACATGTTCTTGATCCTGTAATCGCATGTTTAATTAAGAGCCTGTCTGTTTTAAGTTTGAGGTTGAACATCTGTTCTTGCAGTGTCTTTGTAAGTTTGAGATTGAACATCTCATTCTTTCAGTGTAGACAGATATGAAATTGAACTATATCTTTAAGGAAGCATCGTTTTGGTCCGCGAGGCCAGCTGCTCCTGAAATCCCTCCTGCTGGTTCTGGTCACAAAATTTGGTCTGACATGCCAGCGCTGTATTACGTAACATGATTGCCTTTGCTTAGCTTTCTGGTGGATATGGATGTTTTTTTTTTGCTTATTTATCTTACCTATGATGCAATACATGTGCTGCCTGATTGGTTGTATGATTTTGAAGGGTAATTGAACCGTGACTTAATTTGGTGCACGCTTGGTAGCTTATCAATTGAAGCTTTTAATATATTTGTTACCATGAATCTTGTCTTGGGTTGTTAAGATTTTCTAGTTTTAGCAGCTCCAGTTTTGTAGGTGCACTACACCATATACCAGTTGTGTAGGTACACTACAGCATATGCCAGTGGCCCCTCTGCCATGAAGTTTTCCTTGCTAGTCTAAGAGTCCTCTTCTATTTGTTGAATCTTTTGCTCTTCATGGAACTGTCCATTATCTATGCATGTTTAGTTCTTGATTCATTACACAGCCTTCTTTTGCTAATAGTTTGGTATGCTATTTTGAAGTGAATTCTAGGAGCCGCACTCGAGTGATCACTCTTGTAAAGCATAAAATTGATGCTCCTATAGTTTCTATATCGGAGCAAATTTCTTACCTTTAGATGATACATATGAACCTTTAACAGATAATTTTCTGTTGGTAAAAGTTTTAGAATGTGCTTCTTTGGATCAATGAGGTCACATCTTTGTCTGTTTCTATTAGAATCCGTTTATTTCGGATAGTGTGCATCCATTGAGATACTTTTATGATATATGACTACATTTTGTTGGTAAAATTAATGGTCAAAGTTAGACATAATTTTTTTTAAGTGGCCTTGTATTAGTAGATGGAGGGAGTATTTTTTATATCGTGTAACTGGATAATGGAGCAGTGAAAACCCATTCTCTACGTATGAAGAGCATGTCATTACCATCGGAAACCAGATAAAGTATATGATGCCATTACGCTTACATCAGTATCTAGGGCGAAACTGTTATGTCTATCAATGTACCCCTACTCCAATGCCATTTATGTTTCTTGTTTGTCTATTTCTTTTCTTTTTTTTGAACCATTATTGTGTACGCCATTATTGAAAGTGGATTTTTAACCAGCAAACAAATTGCTTGGTTTGCAATTTTCTTATCTGTCAATACTGCTCGCAAACAACATAGTCAGATGCTCAGATGGTGTACGTATGTATGTTAATTTTTATTTTTGAAGGGATGACATGGGATAACGACAAGCTTGCAACTCGTCCTTGAAAGAAGCTTGCAACTCGTTCTTCAAAGAAGCTTAAGTCTGCAATGTGAAGACCGGTGTTGAACACTTTGGGGATCCTCAAATCGTAGATGATGTTTGTCAATGGTGCGGTGCAGGCAGAACCAAGTCAGGCAAAATATGACATTGATGTGATGAAGATGACGGACTGATGAGTATCTATTGAACATATAAAGCCTCAAGGACTCGTAGGCACAACCAATACCTTGAGCGCACCGGACCACGCGAGGGAAAAAACCACCGCACCACACCGCGTGTGGGAAAAAAACAGCCGGGCGCAGCGCACCACGCGAGGAAAAAATCACCGCACCGCGCGAGGGACGCGCTCGACCTGCAGGCCGTGGTGAGCCCCGCGCCCGTCCGCTTTCTCGTCCATTCCCTGTTCCCTCGTCTCCAACCCTAAATCTTTTCCTCCCCTACAGCCGCCTTCCCAAGCTCCTCATCCCCTCCACTCCTCGACAATGGTGGCGGCGGCGCCCTCTGGTGGCGGAGGAGGAGGGGGGAGATGGTGGCGGCGGAGGAGGGGGGAGATGGTGGCGCGGCGGCGACCTTCCCCTCACGCATCCCATCCCCCTTTGTCATCCCAGATCCCACCGGATCCAAGGCGTGCGGGCGCGGCGGCGACCTGCAAGGGAAGGGCGACGCTCGAATCGATCCTGCTATTTGCCAGGTGCGCCTCCTCCTCTCGAAATCCATTACTCTAACATCCTCATTGTCAATGGCATGTATTCATGCTGAGCAAATGTGCCTCTCTTTTTTTGCCTTTGACCGCCCATGAATTTTCTTCTTAGGTGTTCAGTCTATTTGAGTCTTTCACAAAGGTGGCCAGGAGATCCTTCCTAGAAGCACGGCCCCGGACTGAAGGTCTATTCCTCTGTTTCCAGATCCAGATCCAACTGTGTCTTTAATTCATGCGCATGAAGACATTTCTCATTCCTTTCTATATAGTCTGCCATATGATTCGTGTACTGTCATATAGCTATGAGTGATGTACTCTTATAAAGGCAGCAAAGTATATAATTTACTGCCCTTTATTAATCGATTCTAAAATATTCAACTGGTTTTCTTTCTTCTAATTTAGCTTTATCTTAACATGCTACGTAGTCAGTACATATGCTTTACCTATACTCCCTAAAAAGCTGTATTTTCTGTCTCTATGAATATTTACCCATTCATAGACTAATACCACTGATTGCCTCTATTCATAGCCTCATGATATTATAGCTCTGTTTCATGATGCACTTAGTAGAGCACTATTAGATCCTTACTGCATGTTGATTTTAAGACTTCGATCTTCATTATTCTTAATGCGCACTGT